TTGACATTGTATCTATCTCACATACACACACATACAAACAAACAAACACAAATCATCCCAGAGTTAAAAACATCCGACATACACATGGCTCCTAGTTAAAAACAGGGCTGGACTGGATGGCCTTTGGGGATCCCTTCAAAATCTATGACACTATATCTATCTCATATATTTATCTCATATACACACACATATGTACACACATAGGTACAGGCCATCTTAGAGTTACAAACATCCGATTTACAAATTACTGTTAAGAATAGGGCTGGACTGGATGGCCTTTGGAGATCCCTTCCGAATCTATGATGCTATATCTATCTCATATATATATAATATAGACTTTCCCTGAATTACAAACATCCAACTTACAAACAACTCCTAGTTAAAAATGGGGCTGAGACAACAGGAAGTGAGAGAAATCTTATATATTAGGTCAAAGTAAGTTCAGTCATGTCCGACGCTGGGGGTTGGTGCTCATCTCCATTTCTAAGCCAAGAGCCAGCATTGTCCATAGACACCTCCAAGATCATGTGGCCACTGGCATGACAGAGCGGTACCTATTGATCTACTCACGTTTGCATGTTTTCTAACTGCTAGGTTGGCAGAAGCTGGGGCTGACAGCGGAAGCTCACACCGCTCCCCGGATTCGAACCTGCGACCTTTCGGTCAACAAGCTCAGCAGCTCAGTGCTTTAACCCACTGCGCCACCGGGGGCTCCATATTATATATTATCATTCCCCTGCCTCATGTTGCTGTGGCCCAGTCTGTGTATATGTGTGTTGTGTGTGTGTATATATGTGTTTATGTGTGTGTGTATATTTGTGTACATATATGTGTTCGCATATATATATATATATATATATATATATATATGTGTGTGTGTGTGTGTGTGTGTGTGTATTTGTGTATTAATGTGTTTATATGTGTACATGCATATTGTGTATATGTGTGTGCTTGTCTATATGCATATTTGTGTGTATATATGTGTGTATGTTTATATGTATATGTGTATATATGTATATTTGTGTGTGTATATATGTATGTATATTTATGTGTGTGAACATGTGTATATTTGTGTGTGCTTGTGCATATATATGTGTGTGTGTGCATGTGTATGTGTATTTATGTATGTGATGTGTATATGTGTGTATACATGTATATTTGTGTGTGCATGTGTATATGTATATATGTATGTATATTTGTGTGTGTACATGTTTATATTTGTGTGTGCTTGTGCATATATATACATGTGTGTGTATGAATGTGTGTATGGATGACTGTATGTATGTATGTATGTATGTATATATGGTGTATTTTGGGGGTTTTAAGTCTGTTCCACGGGGGGGGGGGTTGTGTGTGTTTTCAGGGGTGATGGACTGTTAGGTGTATTGTTGGACTGTTAGGTGTATTGTGTCCAAATTTGGTGTCAATTCGTCCAGTGGTTTCTGAGTTATGTTAATCCCACAAATGAACATTACATTTTTATTTATATAGATTACCAGTATGATATTGTATTATAATTTCATATAAGTGCAGGCCATCCCTGAGTTGCAAACATCTGACTTACAAATGATTCACCGCTAAGAACGGGGCTGAGACAACAGGAAGTGAGAGAAGTCTTCTCCTTGAAAGGAAGGGAAATCCTCTCCTGGAAGAGTTATTATCATGGGGGAAAAGGGTCTCCCTTCAGTGAAGCTTTAGCATCAATCCTTGTTTCCACAACAGGCAAATCACAGAGACAGAAAGGGAGGTGGAATTTTCTCAACAGGGGCACAGACAGCAAAGGAAACACCACGGGGGTGTTCACCCTCCCTAGGCAATCCAAAAAAGAGAGACCCTCCTCAAGTCGAAGGGAAGCAAATTCAAAGGACTCTGGATGGGTGGTGCCAAGAGAGAGATGAGGGCCCTTCTGGTTGCCATGAGTTGCACAGGCCCAAGGCCATGGCATCAAAAGGCTTGATTGGGGCCCAGTGAGGAGGAAGGCAGGGCTCCTCTGGCAAAAAGGAGGGTCCTGGTCCTGTGGCCCTCTCTGCCTCAAAGCAAGAAAGCCAAGTGGGGAGGTTGCTGGGTTTGGCCAGGCAAAGCCTCCTTTCTTGCTCAGTAAGGAGCCTGTTGGGACAGGCCCAGCGAAACCGGTCCAAAGAAGAAGGCGAAAAAGAAGGGAGGGAAGGGAGGGAGGTGTGGATCTGGGCCCCCGGGAGGGAAGGGAAGCTGTGAGTCTCAGGCCCAGAAGCATGGGGAGCATGGGGGCAGATGGGAAAGGGAAGGGCCCCAATTCCTCTGTGGACAGACTGGCCTCACTTTCCTCTCCCTTCTCCAAAAAGGACCTTCCACGGGAAGGAAACATGGGGTGATCCCAAAGTGGGGGGTCCTGGGAGGAGGAGAACCTCCCGCCATCAAGTATGATCTAGATGACCATCTGCCGGGAGAGCTTGCATTGTATCCTCTTGCCTTCCTAGTCAGGTTGGGCTGGATGGCCTTTGGGGGACCGTTCCAACTCTAGGATTCTAATGCCTGACTTCTCCATAAAGCCTACTATCTATGAGATTGGGTGGCCACCTGGAGGGCTTTGATGGTGCCTTCCTTGACAGAAGAGGGGTAGGATGGATGGTTTTTGGGGAACCCTCTATTACCTGACTTTTCAATAAACCTACAGTCTCAAAGAAAGCCATATGTCTATAGCCTGACTGCTCCATAAAACCTACTGTCTATGAGACTGGGCGGCCATCTATCTGGAGGGCTTTAATGATGCCTTCTTGGGAAGAAGAGGGGTGGCCTGGATGGTTTTTGGGGGGACCCTTCCAACTCAAGGATTCTATAGCCTGGCTTCTCCATAAACAACTATCTATGAGATTGAGTGGCCATCTGGAGGGCTTTTATGGTGCTTCCCTGGGCAGTAGGGGAGTGGGCTAGACGGCCTTTGGGGACCCCTTCCAACTAGGATTCCATGACTCTACAGCCTGACTTTTCCATAAACCTGCAATCTCGTAGATGGCTATATGTCTACAGTCTGACTGCTCCATAAAACCCACTATCTATGAGACTGGACAGCCATCTATCTGGAGGGCTTTGATGGTGCCTTTCTGGGCAGAAGAGGGGTGGGCTGGATGGCCTTTGGGGGACCCTTCCAATTCAAGGATTCAATGACTACTGAATGGCTTTACCATAAATCTACAATCTCATGGATAGCCATATGTTTACAGCTTGACTGCTCCATAAAGCCTACTATCTGGAGGGCTTTGATGGTGCCTTTCTGGGCAGAAGATGGGTGGACTGGATGGCCTTTGGGGGAACCTTCAAACTCTAGAATTCTACAGCCTGACTTCTCCAGAAGTCTACTATCTATGAGACTGGATGGCCATCAGTCTGGAGGGCTTTGATGGTGCTTTCCTGGGCCGAAGAGGGATGGGCTGGATGTTCTTAGGGGACCCTTCCAACACAAGGATTCTATAGCCTGACTTCTCCATAAAGCCTACAATCTATGAGATTGAGTGGCCATCTATAGGGTTTTGATGGGTAGAAGAAGGTGAGCTGGATGGACTTTGGGAGACCCTTCCAGCTCGAAGATTCCATGACTCTACAGTCTTGCTTTTCCATAAACCTACAATCTCATATAGACAGCCATATGTCTAGCTTTACTGCTCCATAAATCCTACTATCTTGGGCAGAAGAAGGGTGGGCTGGATGGCCTTAGAGGACCCCTTCCAGTTCTAGGATTCCATGGCTCTACCTTGACTTCTCCATCAACCTACTACCTATGAGACTGGACTGTCATCTGTCCCGGAGGGATTTGATGGTGCCTTCATGGGCAGGAGGGGGTGTGGATGGACTTAGAGGACCCCTTCTAATTCTAGGATTCCATGGCTCTTCTTTGGCTTCTCCATCAACCTACTATCTATGAGACTGGATGGTCATCTGTCTGGAGGTATTTGATGGTGCCTTCATGGGCAGGAGGGGGATGTGCTGGATGGTCTTAGAGGACCCCTTCCAATTCTAGGATTCCATGGCTCTACCTTAACTTCTCCATCAACCTACTACCTATGAGACTGGATGGCCATATGTCTGGAGGGATTTGATGGTGCCTTCATGGACAGGAGGGGGGTGGGCTGGATGGCCTTGGAGGACCCCTTCCAATTCTAGGATTCCATGGCTCTACCTTGACTTCTCCATCAACCTACTACCTATGAGACTGGACTGTCATCTGTCCGGAGGGATTTGATGGTGCCTTCATGGGCAGGAGGGGGTGTGGATGGACTTAGAGGACCCCTTCTAATTCTAGGATTCCATGGCTCTTCTTTGGCTTCTCCATCAACCTACTATCTATGAGACTGGATGGTCATCTGTCTGGAGGTATTTGATGGTGCCTTCATGGGCAGGAGGGGGTGGGCTGGATGACCTTAGAGGACCCCTTCCAATTCTAGGATTCCATAGCTTCTCCATCAACCTACTATCTATGAGACTGGATGGCCATTTGTCTGGAGGGATTTGATGGTGCCTTCATGGGCAGGAGGGGGTGGGCTGGATGACCTTAGAGGACCCCTTCCAATTCTAGGATTCCATAGCTTCTCCATCAACCTACTATCTATGAGACTAGATGGTCATCTGTCTGGAGGGATTTGATGGTGCCTTCATGGGCAGGAGGGGGGTGGGCTGGGTGGCCTTTGGGGGACCCTTCCAACTTGAGAATTCTACAGCCTGACTTCTCCATTTGTATGAGAGAGGGTGGCAGATTGGAGGGCTTGGATGGTGCCTTCCTGGGCAGAAGAGGGGTGGGCTGGATGGCCTTTGGGGCTCCCTTCCAAGCCTGTGCTTCGACCCCCTCCTTCCCCTCCTGAGGCTTTTTGGGAGGGGGCTCTATGGGCGTGTCTCCTCCTCCGACCACGCCCCTTTTAGCCCCTCCCGCGGAGAAAGGAGGGAGGGTCTCTCTGCTCTGGGCGCCCCCTCCCTCTCCCCTCCCTCCCTCCTTCTTCCCCCCCCCCCCCGCGAAAGCGAGGCTCACTCACCGAAGCGGAGGCTCAGCCGCGGCACCGACGCCCCTCCCGAGGCCAGAAGCAGGAGGGCCACCCCCAGGAAGGACCCCAGACCCGCAGCCATGGCCAGGCAGCAGCAGCAGCACAAGCCTCCTCTTCCTCCTCTTTCTCAATCTCTCTCTCTCTCTCTCTCTCTCTCGACGGGGCGGGCGGGGCAGTGGCGCCTCCCTTTCCTCCTCCTTTTTCTGCCTCTTTCTTTCTTTCCTTCTTTCTTTCTTTCTTTCTTTCTCGTGAGCGACAGGTCCGGACCTGCGGAGGGAGGGGCGGGAGGGGGCGGGGCTCCCCGCGAGGGGCGTGTCCAAAAGGGGCGGGGCCTGCCCTCCTCAAAGCCCAGGACTTTAGACTTTGCAGGGATTGGTTCAACCGAGACACTCCACTCCCAAGCACTCTCTCTTCATGCCTTCATTCCAGAGCCCATTAGGAAGCATGGAGGGGAGGGAAGCCCCTCTGCATCATGTTACTACTACTACTAATAATAATAAATTAACAAACTAAGTAAAATAATATTTAATATTGCTACATATTATTAATATTATTAATAATAAACTAAAACAATATTTAGTCATATTAGTAATAATAATAAAGTAATAAACTAATATTTAATATTACTACATCTTATTTAGTTATATTAATAATAATACATTAAGAAAATAAGTAAAATATTTAATAATATTAATACTATTAATAACAAATTAAGTAAAACAATAGTTATATTATTAATAATAATACATTAATAAAATAATATTTAATATTACTACATATTATTATTAATATTATTAATAATAAAAAAAACAATATTTTAGTTATATTAATAATAATAAAGAATAAAATAATATTTAATATTACTACATATTAATATTAATAATAAAGTACAATATTTAGTCATATTATTATTAATAATAAATTAATAAAATAAGTAAAATATTTAATAATATTCATATTGTTAATAACAAATTAAGTAAAACAATATTTAGTTATATTATTAATAATAAGTTAATAAAATATTTAATATTAATACATGTTATTAATAAGAGTACAATATTTGTTATAATAATGATACATTAATAAAATAAGTAAAACATTTAATAATATTAATATTATTAATAACACTAAGTAAAACAATATTTATTTATATTATTATTAATAATACATTAATAATAAAATAATATTTAATATTAATACATATTATTATTAATAATAAAGTAAAACAATATTTAGTTATATTAATAATAATAATATATTAATAAAATAAGTAAAATAATATTTAATAATATTATTAATAGTAATAAATTAAGTAAAACAATATTTAATCGTATTAATATTAATAAATTAAGTAAAATAAAATTTAATAACCTTAGTATCTGTACGGTATCAATATAAAGAGGTTTTCAACAGTCTGGACCCTCCTGCTTGCAATGTCTTGTCTGAAGGTGTGCTTATGCTCAGGGGGCATCTTCCTGCCATCAAAATAATTTGTTTACAATAGATGTTGCTGATGTGGTTCCAGTCTCAACGTGCTCTGTTTCGGAGCCATTCCAGATATCACAACAGTCTATGGGAGTGTGCCACCAACCAGGCGGTGTAGGCCTAGTTGGCTTCCCTCTTTCGGAGTAAACTATGAGCATAACCATGCAACCGCCCTCACCATGGGTTGCGGAGTTTTCTGGGCTGTTTGCCCATGCTCCAGAAGCATTTTCTCCTGATGTTTTGCTCACATCTATGGCAGGCATCCTCAGAGGTTGTGAGGCCTGTTGGAAATGAGGCAAGTGAGGTTTATATATCTGTGGAATGTTCATGGTGTGAGAAATAACTCTTGTCTGCTTGAGTCAGCTGTGAATGTTGCAATTGGCCACCTTAATTAACATTGAATAGCCTTGCAGCTTTGCTGCCTGGGGATCCTTTGTTGGAGGTGTTAGCTGGCCCTGATTTATTCTTGTCTGGAATTCCCCTGTTTTTTAGTGTTGCTCTTTATTTACTGTCCTGATTTTAGAGTTTTTAAATACTGGTAGCTAGATTTTGTTCATTTTCATGGTTTCCTCCTTTCGGTTGAAATTGTCCACATGCTTCTTGTGGATTTCAATGGCTTCTCGTGCGCAGTCTGACATGGTAGTTATTAGAGTGGTCCAGCATTTCTGTGTCTAATCAGGGCCAGCTAATCACCTCCCAACAAAGGATTCCCCCAGGCAGTAAGCAGCCAGACCTTGAAGCTTCAAGGCCATTCAGTGCATCATTCACACTTGCCTCAAGCAGACAAGAGTTCTTTCTCCCACCCTGGACATTCCACTGATATATAAACCCCACTTGCCTAGTTTCCAAAAGACCTCACAACCTCTGAGGATGCCTGCCATAGATGTGGGAGAAACATCAGGAGAGAATGCTTCTGAACATGGCCATACAGCCTGGAAAACCCACAGCAACCCAGTGATACTGGCCATGAAATCCTTTGACAACATTGGATAGATGCCGGAGAAAGGAAGGGGCATTGCGGAGGAATGTTGCTGCTACCAGGTCACTACACAAGTCCTGAACACCATCTGATCGATAGATATTTTGCAGGGCAGGTTGTATGTTTTCATAACCATGCCTTCCTCCATTCTCCAACCAAATTCTTACTGATATAACATAGGATTTATGAAAGGACCCCCCTCCCACCACATAGAGTGGCGCACCCTTTCATCAGCACTGCACCAAATGTGCTCAATCCACAGCACCCAGTATGTGCTGGTGGATTCTCCCACCAAGTTGTGCATTGTCATCCCTTGGAGAGTGCACCGGTTGCGGCTATGCATTCAACAATAAGCACACAAACAGGCAGGTGGACAGTCCAGGTGGGTGGGTGCTTACTCCAAGGAAACCCCCCACCCTGCCCCATACAACAGAGGTGGGGGGATACTGGGGCACTCAGAGAATGGAAGGAAGGAGCAGGAAGAGAGAGAGAGACCCCACCTCAATCTCCCCCCCTCCTCCTCTTCCTCTTTCCTTTCCTCCTTCCTTTGCCATGGCAACACAGCCAGAGCAGAGGGCCCTTCTTTGTGGTTGATGCAAAGGACTGGCCGGGGGTCAAGGTGTGGGTCAGCGCGCATGGCGTGGGGGATGGACCAAGCCTGGGGAAGGGGCAGAGATGGGGAGGACAGAGTGCCTAGATTGGACACCCCTAGGGCCAAAAAGGAGACCCCAACCACCTTTTTTTGGGTGGGTGGAGTCCATGGTGGTAATAATAATGGGTTTATTTGGGTGTAAGTGGGGCAAGCATTCTAATCTCTCTACCCCCCCCCCCAATTTGCTGACCATCTGGGTGCCCCTCCCATTGGATCCCAAAGGCCATCAAATCTAACCTCCTTCTTTCTGCCAGGAAGGGAGACAGCATCCGATCCCTCCTGACAGATGATCATCCAGCCCCTGCTTAATAATAATAATAATAATAATAATAATAATAATAATAATAATAAATTCTCTCCTGACTGGGTTGTTGTAGGGTTTTTTGGGCTATATGGCCATGTTCTAGAGGCATTCTCTCCTGACGTTTCGCCTGCATCTATGGCAAGCATCCTCAGAGGTAGTGAGGTCTGTTGGAACTAGGAAAATGCGTTTATATATCTGTGGAGACATACTGTGTTTTATGTCAGTAAAATAACAACAACAATAATAATAGAATCATAGAATTCTAGAGTTGGAAGGGACATCCACCCTGGACATTCCACAGATATATAAAACCCCACTTTCCTAGTTTCCAACAGACCTCACAACCTCTGAGGATGCCTGCCATATGATGTGGGTGAAACGTCAGGAGAGAATGCTTCGGGAACATAGTCAGAAAACTCAGAAAACTCACAGCAATCCAATAATAATAGAATCGTAGAATTCTAGACTTGGAAAGGACTTTTAAAGGCCACCCTGCCCAACCTCCTTCTTTCTGCCAGTCAGGGAAAGCACAATTCAAGCCCTCCCGACAGATGGTCATCCAGCCTCTGCATAACCACAACAACAACAACAGAATTGTAGAATTCTAAAGTTGGAAGGGACCTCTAAAGGCCATCCATCCCAACTCCCTTCTTTCTGCCTGGCAGGAAAAGCACAATTCAAGCCCTACTGATAGATGGCCATCCAATGCCTGTTTAATAATAATATTTGAGCCCCTGGTGGTGCAATGGGTTAAACCTTTGTGACGGAAGGACTGCCGACCAAAAGGTCGACAGTTCGAATCCAAGAGTGGTGTAAGCTCCCATCTGCCAGCTCCAGCTCCCCATGGACATGAAAGAAGCCTCCCACAGGATGCTAAAATATATCCGGGCGTGCCCTCTGTAACGCCCTTGCAGACAGCCAATTTTCTCACACCAGAAGCAACTTGCAGTTTCTCAAGTTGCTCCTGACATTAAATAATAATAGTAATAGTAATAATCATAATAATAATGGAATCCTAGAGTTGGAAGGGACCTCTAAAGGCCATCCAGTCCAACCTTTCTTCTTTCTGCCAGGTGGGAAGGCACCATCCAATCCCTCCTCACAGATGACCATCCAGCCTCTGCTTAAAATCCTCCAAAGATGCCACCAGTTCCCTACAAAAAAGCATATTCAGCTGCCCATCTGACTGCCAGGACGTTCATACTAATGTTTAAATGGCAACTCTCTTCCTTCCTGTCATTTGAATCCATGACCATGTGTCATAGATTAGCCTGAGGGGCACTGTAATTTACATAATGACCGGAAAACAGCAAGCAGCCCTGCAATTGCCCCCGTGCATCCCTCCCTGAGAGATAGAGAAGACTGTGCATGCGTCTGACCTGAGAGACCTAAGGTCGGCCTCAGGGCCAAAACAGGCTCCTGGTCAAGAGGTTAAGGATCAAGGCCCCATCAGGGATTGTTGTGCAGCCCTTTGGAGGCTCAGCCCAGAGCTGGAGCTGTCTGGGCTGCACTTCCCTCCCATAATAATAATAATTGGATATTAGTTCAAAGGCAGTGATGAAAAGGAAGGGACGGCAATGGAGTCCTTCCCTGCCAATGGACACAGGTAACTGCAGGGGACCCCCTGGATCAGGCATGGGCCAACTTGGACCCTCTCTCCAGGTGTTTTGGACTTCAACTCCCACAATTCCTAGCAGCCCCAGGCCCCTTCCTTTCCCCCTCAGCTGCTTAAGCCCAAGTTGGCCCATGCCTGCCCTGGATGCTCTGCATTTGCATTTTCTGATTGAGAAGGGTGTTTTATTCAAAGCAGAAGGTGTTTTCAGGGAGCAGAAAGCAAGACACTGTAATCAACAGACAACAGGGGCAAGGC